CATCAAATGATGCTCCAACCGATGCCTAATCTCCATTGGCCAGAATACCGTTATACCCCTCTCCAGACAGCCTAAACTCCTACCCTCACCCCTTCACCACCTCAAAGTCAGCAGGAAGTAGCCAGAAGGACAGCCGCCGCCCCTTTTCCTCTTTAGGGAGTTGGGAATGTCTGGTAGAGGACTTTTGGCCCCGTTCCCCAGCCATGTGGAAAGGGCCTAATTCCCGAAAAGGAAGGCCCTTCCTCCCCCACAGGGAGGGTCCCTTATCTCACTCTATCCTGGCCGGACCCAAGACCAGCAACCTTCCCGCCCAGCGGCCCACTGAACCAATCACCATCCGCCCCACCAGCTCTCCCGTAACCTCCCGTCCCACAAGCTCCCGCCCGGCAGGCTTCCTGCCCAGCAATCAACCTAGCCAATTACTACCTGCCAGGTCAGCTCTCCTACCGCCCCAGGCCCTCTGTCCCTATAAAGTCGACCGAACAAAGAAAGCGCGCGCGATTCTTTCCTTCCCGCTTGAGTCGCCCGGAGATCCCAATAAAGTCGGTACCGGCCACCATGCGTCCTGCCTCGAGTCTATTAGAGTGCCTGCCTCCGTGGGTCGGGGTCCCACAGCCGGGGTCGCACAACTATAATGTTGGATACATGTCCAGATCCACAGAATGTACAACACCAAGATTGAACCTTGAACTATGGACTTTGAGTGATGAGGATGAGTCAGTGTAGGCTCATGGATTGTAATAAACGCACCACTGTGGTGGGTATTGATAATGGGGGGAGCGCTGTGTATGTGTAGGGATGGGGGTAAATGGGAAATCTCTATACTTTTGTTACCAGTGGAGGGTGTACAGCATTTTGAACCAAAAATTGGACAAATGCACAAAGCAAGGAAAGAATGGAAGCAACAAAAGCAGAGATTTATTGAAAACGAAAGTACACTCCGCAGGGTGGGAGCAGGCCTAAGCAAGTGGCTCAATGGCCTGGTTACAGATTTTTCTGGGGTTTAAATATCCTCTAGAGGTTTCCATTGGTTATTTGGTGTACACCCTATGTAAACTAAGAGGCTAAAGTGAAGTTAGTTACTTGGTGTACACCCTATGCAAATGAAGAGGATGAAGTGAGGTTAGGAAGTTTTTTACTTGGTGTGGAAAATTGGGGTTTTTCTCTTTGATTTAGTCGTAGGAAGCCCTTAGGTTACCTGCCTCCCGATCCTATTCTCCTGCCTCACTTTCTTCCCAATTTTGCTGTGAACCTAAAATTGCTCTAAAAAATGAAATTTTAAAAAAGAAAATAAACATAAATTGCAAATAAGTGTCACTTACATAAAAACAGTTAATGTCCCCATATCAGGAAGAAAACACCTATGATTCAATGTAAAAATGCTAAAAAGAGCCAAGAGAAATGCCAAGGCATGGAAATTCACAGAAGCAGAAATAGGCAGTAAACTAACAATGCTCAATCTCATTTATCTGAGAAATGGAAAGTAATATTTCAGTGACATACAAAGGAGTAACAGTCATTTTAGGAACAATTTAAAAAATAACACGTGATGTGGCTCAGGAAAGGTTCATATTCTCACTGTAGGAAGGTAAGTGAATCATTTTGGAGGTCAGTTTTGGAACTCAGAAATTCAAATGCATCTATCTTTTTTCTACTTCTAGAAATGCATCTTCAGAAGTGCCCTTCCCTTCCTCACACACCCCTAAGTGTACAGAGATAAATGTCATGGATGTGGACTGCAGTCTTTCTAACACCAAAAATTAGTAAACAACCTAAAAATCTATATCCTTGAGGATTTAAAGTAATCCTGCACAAGTCAGAATAAGGTCGATGCCTGTGTACTTGGTATATAGAAAATAACAAACTGGTTGTTAGATGAAAAAAGCAAGCTGTTTCTCATGTATTTACCTTATGAGAGTGTGATGCCTCCAACTGCATGGCTATGGCTCCAGAGCAGGCCCTTGTAACAGCCTCTGCCCTAGACCGTTCCTGCTGAGGGGCTTTTCCCTGGGAAAAGAACCAGGTTTGATTTTTGATCTCTTTTGTTATCACCACGCTGACAGCTTTGATTGTCATATGCCTTTCCCTCTGCTGTACTGATTTTATCTTACAGAAGCTCTTCTTAATGCTTAATCAGACACTCCTTCTTTACAAAGAGAAGCCAGCCATATTCCCTGGTCATCTGATTGAGCTCGAGGTGACTCCTGGGGATCATCTGCCTCCCACCAGCCTGATGCTCCAGGTGGTAAGCAGTTGCCTCTTGGCTTTTTCAAGCAACTCAGAGATGTGCCAGGACTACAGATGATGGTGGCTCTTCCAAGTCCCTGGAGAGTGACTCAACGCCTCCGTTATCAAGACGTGTCACACAGGCTATGCACCAACAACTCTACAAGCACCCTTCACCTTGACAAAGACTTTGCAAGCTTTTTCTATAAAGGGGCACACGGTAAATATTACAGGCTTTGTAGGCAATACAATCTGTCCTATTTCAACCTTGCCCTCTGTAGCAGTGAATCAGCCATAGATAATATGTAAGTGAATGCATATGGTTGCCTGCTAATGAAGTTTATTTACAAAAACAGCTCCCTTTGAGCAGTTTGCTACCCCAACATAAACCACGAAGAGTCCCTGGTGTTGGCAAGTTGTAGGCAGCCCAGTACACCATCAGTATGGCTGGTGCCATCCCCTCAAGCCTACCCACACCCAGACCCTTTCTGGTGTCCCTTCAGAAAAACTCCCAAAATTCTCAAAAAGCATAGGGGAGCCATTGCCCTCACCTTCTTACAGGGGAGGGTTCTTCTTCCAGTTCCACCCTCCTCAGCATGGTGCTCAGGGCCATCCCTGCCTACTCTTGGCCACAAGCACAGACCTTCCTACACAGGCTCAGCAGCTCTGCGGACTTGTCCCCCACCTGGAGCCACAGGCCTCCACTCCTGGGGACACAGGTATGGCCATGGCTCTGCAAAGCAGCCTTGTGCTTAGCTCCCAAATCGGCCAGCAGCCCAGAGTGGAAGAATTCTGTGGATTACCCCCAAGGCAGCAGCTCATCCGGGAAAGCCTGGCTTCCCTCCCTTCACCTGTGCAACCCGACCCTGGTCATGCATATGGCAGAAAAGCTGCAATCTGCCCTTAGCACTCCCAGCCCTGCGGGTGGTTTGGTGTCTAAGCATCGTGGCACTGCCTTCCCTCTCAGGCCTTGCCAGAGCCAGGGGATGCAGCCTGGCAGAGCTGTCACTGGTCTCCCTGGTGCTTTCACAGCTGGGCTGTGGGTCAGGAGCAAGTTTCCATGGATAAGGCTGGTTCATAATCAAGTGCTCTGCAGTCATGTGGCAACACAGACTCAAGTATGCCTTCCCTCAGGGCGGTGAGCCCAGGTAGGGTCTGGGTGTTTGAAGCAAGCACACCTGTGACAAATCCCTGTTTTCACTCCCATCCCACAAACTCATCCAGACACCGCCGGCCCACTGCCGACACACAGGTGTCTGAGGGAGGCTGAGGAAAATACACATCTCCAGGAGCCATGTTCTTTCCTGATGTGCAAGCCCGACAACGCTGAACTGGAGTGCCCGCCAGCATCCCAGGCTTCCCTGCAGGGAAACACTCTCATAGTGAAGCTCCTTTTTAAAGAAAGCCTTTATTGCTGCAATTAGACATCCCAGTGTATAGCACAAACCCCCCTTTACAGAGAATTATTCAAGTGGTAATACTGAGAAACAGTGAACATACACAAAAGAATACAAAACTAGACATTTAGATTACTAGAAACTTTCTAAGAAAAATTTGAAATGTGAAGTGCCTTTTAGAAACTACACCACACAAGCCAGTGTAAATTTGGTTTAACGATCAATTTCCATAAACATTGTATCTAACTGTGCATTGATCAACTGCACAACTTCAACAATTACTTTCTAAGACAAAGAGAAATGCTTTTATTTCCCTATGTTTTGGTCTTTCCTTGGGCTAGAGGTGGAAGCTGCATGTTTCAAGCCAGATTCAAAAGGGAAAGCACTTCAAAAGGCAAAGTACTTTAAATGTGTATTTGCCTCCAGCCACATCCACAGCCTCATGGATCTCACCAGGTTGGTCCCAGCCCTTCTCCAGCCCTGTAGCCCACAACAGGGATGCAAAGGCAGCCCCGGATCGTGCAGGCATCAACTGAGGCTCCCAAACTGGCCCAGCTGCTGGAGGCCGGCATACCTATGGCCAGGTAGGACACATGTGCAGGTTTGAAAACTAGGCCTACATGTTTGAAGAATGGACTGAAGCAAAATGGGGAGAAACATTAGAGGCCTAGAGTAGGAAGATACCTTTATAGGGTTTTCCGGAAATTCTTACAATAAACTTGGGCACAAAAACCAAATTGCTGAGGCCAAAAGTCTGCATGTGGTACTGTGACTTATGGGGAATAGAGGCCAAATCAGAGAGGGCTGGCTGGTGATGCCCCAGACCACTTGCCTCTTCCCCTTCCTTGGCCCTGAGACCTCATTCTGGGCTTCTATATGGGTCAACCAAATGCTATCCTTTCACTAAAGCCGGGTGCAAAATAGGGGGCATGAAGCAGGGAGATGCTGGGGAAAACACAGCCCCAAAAGAATTAAGGGAGCAAGTTTACCCAGGCTACAGGAGCACTGGCAGAGCTGGTGCCCACACCAGATGGGAGTACCATACCCCTGCCAGGCTTCGTGCTTCACTGCTAGATGCAGGGGGCTAGGAGGGTCTGATGAATCAGGAGCTGAACTAGAACCAGAACCTTCAAGGAAAAAAGACAAGAGGGTAGCTCTGTGTCCTGCTAGGAGGGGAAATAAGAATGTGTGCAGATTGTCCACAGTGAGGCCAGAGATGATGAGATGGTATTAGGCAGAAAAGGGAGAGGGCTTCCCATGAGAATCTGGTTGGGCATGGGAGGGATACAGGGCTCAGTTATAAAGGCACCTTTGCCATAGTGGGGTGCCAGCCACACTGGGTGGGCTGCCCAGGGGCTGTCCCTACCTAAGCACTCTCCTGTCTACAGGAAGTCTTGGTGCTTTTCAAGTTCAGCATAAGGGATTCCATATATGAAGTAGGGATTCACACTTAGAAAATCTAACCTGGTACTGTTGGAGGGTGGCAGGAATGAGTCTACAAAATCAGGGGCCTTGCCTGAGCAGTTCCTTAGGGACACTGGCAGGGCTGACCTGGGATTCAGCTCTCCTGAGTGGACAGTCTGTGGTTGCCTGGGGTCCCCAGGCTGAGAAGCGGTATGGGTAATTGCACTTCGGGGTACAGTTAACACAGGCACGGGCTGGATGTGACCTGGGAGACAGAGAGGGACGGCTGACCTGTTTTCAGGAGCTGGCTATGGCTAGACAGTGCCTGCCTAGCCAGAGGAGGGCTACAGCAGATCCACTCCACAGACTAAGACCTGTGTTGCCAAGGAATCAGACACCGGCTTGAAGGAGACAGGAGGGCAAAGCCTACTGCCATTAAGCCCACACCGTAGCTCAGAGATCCTTCAGCCTTCTGACCTTCAAAACAAACTCTAGGACTTCCACTCTGAAAGGCAAATAAATCATCTTGTTTTTGCTTCATCCCCTTAGTAGCAACAAAGTGCAGGGCAAACAAAGTGCCTAAGGCCCAGACTGAGGCAGGACCCCCAGCATCTCCCACCTCCTCCCTGCAGGCTGGGTGAGAGAGTATCCTGGAGAGAAAGCATCTGGATTACTTATATTGTGTTTCAGGCACCCCGGCAACTTTCCCGGAGGTAACTATTTGCCTGGCACTAGGAAACTGGGTTTGAAAAACAGAATTTTAAGCAGATTTTTAGAGAGACAAGGCCATCTGATGGTAGTGATTTGGTTTTATGAAAATGGTACAGGTAGTAATCCCTGATGACAGAATGGACCGAAAGTGGGACCAAGGGTCCCAAAGGATCCTGTTCAGTCTGGTTAAGGCGACAGCTGGGCGGGTGTATGGCCGGGGAGCAGTGGCACAGCAGACCCTGGCAGTGTGCTCACACCTGACCCTCATCCCAGAGCCAGCCTGCCTGCCTCATGGCCCTGGCAGTGACTCCACAGAACCTCCATGAGCAGAAGCCTCACAGTGAGCCAGTACCCATCTTGTGTGCATGGGAGAACCTGCAGTGCACACACCCCAGCCGGGGTGGCACATGGCTGCTCTTTCAATGTGAAGCCAGCACCAACTGGAGAGATTTAACCATAAAGCAGTATTTTTTAAATATTCAGTTTTGTTGTATTACTCACTTCCTTTCCTTCCATTTAGATCTCAAAAACTCTTCTTTTTCAGTGTTGACAAAAACAAATGTACGGGTCAGGTCTATGAAATAACACCTTGTCATAAAACAGGCTCAAAAGCATAGAAACTATGCTTTAACTGCCATTAAGAATCCATTAATTTCCATGAGATCTGTGATAAAAAAGCATCCGGCCTGTTTGTCCTGTCTTAAAGTCATGAGTCTGTTTTATGAACAGGACGAATGCCATGCTTCTTAGCATATATAAGGCAAAGTGGGTTTTTGATCTCTCATGATGTAAAGGAGATAACAAAGGTAAGGAAGGGAAGATTTACAAGTGAGACTTTTTTTTTGAGTGTCAATCCCACTGGACACACATATTACAAAATAAAGATTCTCTTCTGTAAAGTGCTGTTTGCTCAGTGAATCATGTGCCACCACAGAGCACCACGGCCCCATCTGCTCAAGAGCATGGAGGAGGCAGCACTGGCAGAGGGTGGGCCGGAGTCTGTGTTTGGGGGCCTGTTTCAGTACCGCCTCCTGGGGCTCTCCGTGGTATGGAGGGAATCTTTCAGCATGGCTAGACATTCCCCAAGCTCTGTTCCAGGGTGGGGACCAATGTAAGCTGGAGGCAGCTGCATATCAGGGCCTGGGTGCCCCTGCTCCTGCTCTTCCCTTGAATTGGCATTTTATTCTCTCATTCTGCGCAATACCATGAGCAGGAACTCCGCTGGCTCCCCATCGTGTCATCATGGGGCCTTCCACCTTCCCTTCCCACAGAGCTGCCTGGCAGAGGCAGGACCCAGGCATGCCCAGCCCACAAGAGGGCTTTCTAGGAAACTAAGGAGGATTTAGAAAAAGAGAAGCCACTATAAATAGTCACCTGCCCAGTCTATGCTATTAAGGGACATAAGAAAGGTACACAAATTGGCAGTAAACAATTTCCTTCGGCTCTTCATGGATGTCCAGGAAAATGACAACCCGCACACAATCAGACATGAATGATTTCTGGTCCAGTGTCTTCAGGCTCTGTGCAACAAGAGTTTGTGTCGGAATGACAGATTCCACGTCCATCTTTATTTTCAAAGTTGGGCTCTGTTAGTGCAGATTTTTCAAAAATATTCTTTTTGCTTGTTTCTGGACAGTTTTGAACATAGATCACTCTATTATAGGCCTTGAGTCTCTTCCACAATTGCACGTATACTTTACACTGAACATACATAAAAAGAAGTCCTCCAGTGAAGCCGATGGCCACAACTACCAATTTAGTCCAAAAGGGCCATTCCAGGATTCCTGGAAGGGAAAAAATCAGCCTATTAGATTTTATTTAAGACCTGAATTAAAGAAAACATATGTCCGAACTTCCCATTACCAACTGATTCTTTTTTTTTTTTTTTAAGAGATGGAGTTTTGCTATGTTGCCCAGGCTAGAGTGCAGTGGCACACAGGTGTGATCATGGCACACTATAGCCCTCAATTGCTGAGCCCCAGCAATCCTCCTTGCCTCAGCCTTTTAAGTATCTGGGACTACAGGACTACGCCACTCACCAATGGATTCACAGCTCACCAAATGTGGCTTAAAGAGTGGAAGACAGTGTCCAGTTACTTCCTGCTTTTCCAGAACACAGTTTATGGAGATTCTCATGCTCCAGAATATGAACTCTCTGACTGAGTTTCAACAACTATCACCACAGCAAAAGAAATGCCAAAAAGGAGGCCTGGTGCCCCTTAACTGCTGTCCCTCCTCTAGAAACCCAAACTTTTTTGGCCTGGCTGGAAAATCCTCTGACCCCAGGACTACTGTGAGCTATCCTCGCCTCTGGTGCTGAGCTTGCTCTTCAGCCTGAGAACTCACCTGTTGCCTGCCCCTGCTTGATCTCCTCGGCAGTACGGTCAATAAGCACATACAAGGACCAGACCACACATGTGATGGCGATGACGTGGAATGTCACTGAGCACATAATCTTCCTGCGCTCGCTGGCCGTCATCTGCAACTTCTCCCACTGGAAAGACAACACGGAATGTGAGGCTCAGGCTTCTTGGGGAAGGGCTTTGGTCAGGTGAGAGCATTATAGGTGAGACTAGCTTTTTGCCCCTTCTCCCTTCCCAAACTAGATGCATTTCCTCAAATACCCAAAGTTGTTCTCCTTTAACCAGGTACCAGGTACAGCCAACTTTCTATCCAATGAAAAGAAGCCAGGATCGAGATGAAACCGAACTATCATCAAAAATCCCCTTGTCTGCTAATTCTTGCAAGCAGACATAAAATGGCCTGATAAAGAATTCTATGATTTCAGTCCTAATGAAAACAGTATGTTGGTCCAGGACCCAGGTGCTACGTTTTAAGTCTCCCTGATGTGTTGACTAGCATGGAGGAGCGGAAGAAGAGGGTTGATGATGCCACAGCACACTAGCAGATGGGCCACACTACATCATGAAGGTGAATGGCAGAAGAAGCTCACTCTTTGGTCCTCGCTACTTTGGCAGCAACAGCTCGAAATCGACGCTAAGAGTTCCGAGTACAAGCAGACTCTGCCAGTCTCATCTCCTTTAGGAGCTCATTAATTTACTCCAAATAGCCAGACTTTTTCATTTACTGGTTTCCGAATCAGGAGAAAACACATAAAGGTAGAGAGAAAGAACAATGTATAAACACTCTGCACATATCCTTTGCCAATCCTAGTCACAGCCTCTTTCCAGATGGGTCTATGCAAGGTAAGTTGTAAACAGAGCCTCAAGGACTTCCCATAGTGAGAGATTAGCATAGAGTAGGCACCCAATAAATTACAAGGCTTCTACTGGGGAAAACATTTTTTTAAGCACTTTGTGTAAGATTTCGCTAACATCTGGTTGTTTTCTGCTAGAATTTTATATACTAGCAAGTTCCCTGGTCTTCCTACCTGTAACACAGAGTCAGCACCCCAGCGCCCCATGCTCCCTGCTACTTCCTACAAACACATGTAGCTTGCCACCCTGTTAATGCTCGCTCTCACCTTTCTAGGGTATACTTTACTTCATAGACAGCTTGACCTCTCTAAACTCCTTTCACTCTGCCTTCAAATCCTAATGATCTTTCAAGAACCACTCTAAAACTCAAACACCCTATGAGGCTACCACGGCTCCACTTCCCCAGCCCTCTAGCCCATAATGAGCATTTCCTTTTCTGAATGACTGATAGGCCCTACCAGCACATCATTTAAGACTTAATTAGCTAGTATATGATTATGTGACTTCTCTTACAATTTATATATAACGTTTTGAGATAAGAACAGTCTTTTATTCTTCCAGACAAAACCTGCTGTGCTGGGCAAAAAAGACGTATGAAACAGTCAACATTTAAACTGGAGAGCAGGGCTGCGGACACAGTTCCTCTCGGAGGCAGCAGTGACATGGGCCTCCAGACAGCTGTACGTCATGAAATATCTGTGGGTCCTTTCTGAAGACAGCTGCACATCACGTAACGTCTGTGCTTCCTTTCCTTTCCCCATCCACCTACTCACACTCCCATCCACCAAATCCTTATCATAGGTTTATACAAATAAATTTACTGTGTGCTGTGGAGAGATACTGATCTCCAACAGACAGTCCTAATCAAAGCAGCAGGACGTCAACAGTTAATATGTATAAAGTTAGGTGCTAAGATACGTCACAAACAGTCTGTGGTCAAAGGCCAGATGACTGACACTGACAAGCAAGCAGTCTCAGTTTGAAGGGAAAAGAAGATTATGAATGGTCAGAAAGAGCTTCTTCCTGAGGGGAGGGACTTGAAAATCAGCACCAGAAACAACAATCTCTACAATGCAAACGTAAGCACCAGCCCCAGCTTTTTAAGGTAATGAATGCAGGCAAGCTATGACCCCATGATCTGTGACACCAGCTCTCCGGGAGTCAATGGTTTCAGGAAGGGTGAAGCACTTCTGGGCCTTCCTCCCACATACTTTTCTCAGCGGCTTCAGCTTGGTCTCCATGACAAACTCGTACTTGCAGAGCTCGCAGCAGCGCGTGTCGGAGCTCTTGATCCACTGCTGCAGGCAGGCCTGGTGCACGAAGTGGAGGCTTCCTGTGCAGCGGCAGGGGGTAATGAGGGGGCTCTCGTCGTCTCCTTCACAGTGGCAGATCCTATGGTGGAAGGAAAACCCGTCATTCCAAGGAGAGCCCCATGACAGGGGAGCTGACACTTCAGTGGAAGGTCAATTCCCCCAAAGAAAACTTTCAGAAACGAACATGACAGAAATGACTATAGGCACAAAAACATACAAACACAAATGAAAACAATCACTACAAACTAAAAATTTCTAGCTTACCGCACCAACATGGAAAGTCTGGAGGGCATTTGGCAACAAAAGGGAAAAAATGACGTAAGAAATGACAAAGTGGTCATTTTTTGGTAAGACATGAAACTTCCTTGAAAGGCGAATTTAAAGCAACACGTAATCATTTTCCAGAACATAAGATGGTAAAATAATTAGAGGGAAAATTTCTATATAAAACAAAACCAGCATTCCAACTTTCAAAAATACCACAGTGACTTTAAATGATGACATCTGCTTTTTAGCTATAATCACTTACTTTACCTTCATACCCCACAACTATATATTTCTGTTCTCTCTCAGGAAGTAAACAAAGATCACAGTACCTCTCCTAGACCTAAAAAACTCACCATAACAAGATGCTGCAATTTCATCTCTTTTTCTTGGGACCACTAATAGCAGTAAGTGAGAATTAATTTGAAAGCACTCATTATTTCCAAGGAAGTATGCAGCAAGATATAGCTATTGGCCTGAAGGAACTTAACAGGCTTTTAAGAAAGAGAAGGGTCTTTTCCAGCAGCTAGCGAACAGGCTGGGGCACCTGTCCTGGAAGGAGCCAGGGTCTCAGGCTATCTGTGTTTTAGTGAGGGGGGTCTCTGATACAACTGTTAGAAATGGCAACAGCTGGCACTAAGGAGAGGAGACCGGGGAAAGGTCAGAAGTAAGAAGGCACAAGAGTCACAAAAAGTGAATTCTGGAGGCCAGAAAAGGATACTGCATAAGGGAAGATAAAGGCGGGAAACGGAGTTAGGGCGGGACATAGGTGGCTACACTCCAGTTAAAAGGAAGGAAGGAGCTACTGGAAGAAAGGAGCTACTGGAGAACAGCCAGTCCCCACAGACCTTTTAGGGGTAGATGGGGAGCAAGGGTTAAAAAAGAGGCTGGGAGATGCAACAATGCTTAAAATCTGGACCATCAGGCTGGAAAGCTGGAGCTACTAATTTCTTTCTTCCAGTTTCTTTATGTAAAGTCTACTTATTTTTAGTTGAGAAGAGTCAGCTTGGCCTTTAATATGTGTAGCTTCTTCCTTTTTTTTTTTTTTTGGCAAGAGAGTTTCACTCTTGTCACCCAGGCTGAAGTGCAATGGCGCAATCTTGGCTCACTACAACCTCCGCCTTCTGGGTTCAGGCAATTCTCCTGCCTCAGCCTCCCAAGTAGCAGGGACTACAGGTGCGTGCCACCATGCCCAGCTAATTTTTGTATTTTTAGTAGAGACGGGGTTTCGCCATGTTGGCCAGGCTGGTCTTGAACTCCTGATCTTAGGTGATCCACCCGCCTCAGCCTCCCAAAGTGCTGGGATTACAGGCGTGAGCCACCACGCCCGGCCAGCTTCTTCCTCTTTTATCATTTGTGAAACTATCTTGGGACCCATGTCATAAAAATTAAGTTTTTCAAATGATATTGATACTCCATTCTTCTGGAGAAAATGATTAACCCATAACTGGTTACAACTTCCTATTACTTCATTTTCCTGAAACTTCACATATTAAAGCAAGGTGAGGCTCCTGATGTGAGCAGAGATGGCTAGAATGGCACTTCCTGGCAAACCAACCTGCAGGCATCCCCTGATGTGGACACGGGAGATATGGGGGCTAATTTTTCAGAGAGGGGAGAAGGACAATCCAGGTCACTGTCCTTTTCTGTGGAGCAGAGGGGAGCCCGCAGAACCCTACTCTTCAATTTTGCAGATGTGCTGTCCTCAAAGACGTCGTCATCTCCCATGTCGTCAGAGCAGAAGCCCGTGCTCCCTGCCAGCCCACTGGAAGACTTGGCAGTGTGCAGGCGAGCGGTGCAGCTCTCCAGCTCGTGGAACCTGTGCAGGCTGCTGGCGCTCGAGCCATGCGAGAGTGAGAACAGGTACCGGAGCAGTCGCTGGCTTCGGGATGTGGCCTCGCCATCTGCCTTCTCTTCCAGCAGCAGGCCAGGCCTGCCCCCCTGGCCAGCTTCCACCTCTGAGGCAGCTGAGTGACTGGCAGAAAGGCATGAAACACAAGAATGTTTGGAATTGCCAAGAGGTTTGTAGTTCAGGGTTCTTTTTTCTTTATGAAGGTAGCTGCTGGTTCTGAGACACGAATCTTGAGGGAATATTAATTTTCCTTCCGAACAAGTTCTTTCCACATAAGCAAAACTTTCCGAAGTATCCTGCGCCTTCTCACCCACATCACTGAGGGATCTTGAGAACTTTAGTGTTCTTCTGGCTTTGGTATTCTTAGCAGGCCTCAAGGCCTGGACCCATTCTGAACCAAAGGAATTTCTCTTTGACGCCTGTAATGTGTCCTTACAGATAACTGTCACAGTGAGCCCTTGTGTCAGAGAACTCTGGCAGTGAGGAGCTTTCAAGACAACAGCAGACTGCACGGAACTGTGGTGACAACACTCAGAAAACACTGCACTGGAACTGCATGCAGAACAGTGGGATAAAAGCACAGAAAGTAAAAACAATTTTAAAAGAGAATAGACATCATAGTGAAGAAATGAAATTTGCATGGGCAACTTGGTGCTCAAACCACACATAAAACTGGGTGAACTGTTTAGACCAAAGGCAGACTGAATAAGCAAATGGAAATTCAAGAACCTGCAGACACTAATGCTTATTTCTAGTTGCACACTGATCACGGCAGCATCTGAAGCAGAGTGTTACCTGCAGATGTCCTGGCTGGACGGCGTGATAGAAGTGCGAGAGAAGGTAGACACCGGAGCCAGAGCTGATGCTGATGTAGGACTCCCAGCCTGCAATGACAGACCTCTGGTCAGTGTTCAGAAAGAGCCAAGGGGACCATGCGCACTGTCTCCTGGACAGTGTCGGGCAAAAACCCTAGAAATATCTGCTATTTCCCGCTGTTCAACGAATGACACATATTAGGTCCCTCTAAGCCTAGGCAAAACAAATCAAATAGCACTATTTTTTTCTTCTCTGTGGATAAAAGTATAACCAAGAAATGTCTAAGGCTACAGAACACCACTACTGATCTCCTGCAGGTCCAGGGGCCGTTTATTTTCTAAGCATCTAAATTGAATTCGTTCATATAGAAGTGAAGAAACCAAGTACTACAAGATATCATGCAAATGTCAAAGAAATAAGAGGCTCCAGGCCTGCCAGCACAGGGTTCCCCAGCACTCTAGTTCCTAACATCACCAAGGCTGGCAGATTTAAGAGCTCTCTCCTACCTCACAACCTCATGCACAGTGCCAGATGCCCCTGTGCTCCACAAAACCTCACTGCCCTGCCACAGCTCTTCACGCAAAAGGGAGACCAGACCACCTGACCACAGGGGCCACCAGGGGCTGAGGAGGAACACAGAATGCTCCCAATAGGTCTAATCTTGGAACTGTAAATTAAGAAAAATAATCAAGAAAATTTAGATTTGAAACAAAGTGCAGCGAGAGGTCATAGAATAGAATAGAGCCTCTAAGGTGGTGAATGGTCAAACTTAGAGAAAAAATCTAGGAAAGACAGGAAGTACCTCAGTGAGGAGAGAAATGGACAGAGAGAAATAGGGACGGTGAGTGCCGCTGAGCTGAGGATACACCACTACCACTAGAGGGCCCCAGACACCCACACCAGCCTCAGGTTCCCCAGGCTCCACAGACCCCACAGACCCCACAGACCCCACAGACCCACGAGTATTCATAAGCATTCTTCCCTAAAGATGGTGAGCTTGAATGAGAATCTGCTCCATGCAACCCCAACAGCCCCAAGAAAACAGTACCACATGTTTGTTATCACTGGAAAGGCCATATCACCACCCACCTTCTGCAGGCCCACCTGCATGGCCCTTGGCCCTAACTCTTTGATACAAGGGAGCTCCACCCTGGCCCGCAATTCCCCGGCTGAGGCTTAGTCCCAATTTTTCTAAGTGCCATCCCCAAGGGTGCATTCTCATCCTGGAACTCCACCAATGGGACCCCTGACGTTGGTCAGTCACCAGAACAGATATGGCCATTGCCCAGAAACTCCTCCTCCCCCTCCCTCTCACAGCAAACGCAGCAGCCTGGAGAAAGCCAGGATGGCACTCAAATTAAGATGCCCATCGCATGGTTGCTCCCACTTCCAGCACAGAGATTAAACACCACTTTAATCCAAGTCCATCTAAAGAAACAAGATCCAAGAAGCTCCTCGTCAGCATGCTGCACGTGTATGCTGAGATCACGCCGCACCAATCCATGAGCATGTCTTCAAATTCACCAAAGAATCTACATTTCTTTTCTTTTTTTTTTTTTGAGACGGAGTTTCGCTCTTGTTACCCAGGCTGGAGTGCAATGGCGCGATCTCGGCTCACCGCAACCTCTGCCTTCTGTGTTCAGGCAATTCTCCTGCCTCAGCCTCCTGAGTAGCTGGGATTACAGGCTTGCGCCACCATGCCCAGCTAATTTTCTGTATTTTTAGTAGAGACAGAGTTTCACCATGTTGACTAGGATGGTCTCGATCTCCTGATCTCGTGATACACCCGCCTCGGCTTCCCAAAGTGCTGGGATTACAGGCGTGAGCCACTGCGCCCAGCTTCTACATTTATTTTCTAACGGAATATGCATATGGGCATGGGGTATATGGTCTTTAGAAGCATTAGAAGTCAAAGTTCTTAAGAATCTAAAGTTTACTTGGAGACATGAAAATAGCATCCTTGAAATAACCCTCCCATCACTACCTTTTGTCAATATTCTTCCTAAAACAATGTGGGAAACATCTTAGGATGCCTGTGGACACTCTGCTGTGACATCCCTTGCATCCTTTTAAGTCTGACTGCGTGAGCCATTGTCCTCTTTCTCCAACTGCATTATATACTGTCTTCTTTCCCCAGCATCGTCCTCTCGGGGCACCTATCACTGGCTCCACCTGCCCCAGAGATGAGCACTCAAGGCCTTTTGGTATCATGGGCTTTACTGTTTATACCACAGGGGAGCAGGTTGAGGGGGGACCCATGCTAAGGTCCCCAAACTCCTACAATTCCCCTGTTTTCTGACATTTAGTCCTTACACTATTCTAGGACTAAAAGCCTTCCTGAACTTATTGCTGTATTCTGTTACTTCTGAGGATGACCAGCTCTGTTCAACACACAAAGGCAAGGCTGAATTGTGTCATGAAGACCACAGCCTGACCATGGTGTATTGCAGAAAAGTAAGCGTCTTCATCCCCTGTTCCCACGTAGACTTTGAGGAAGGTATATCCAGCAGTATTCACATGCTTGCCCCTCATTGCTATAAGGTCACCTCTTCTTCCTCTGTGTTGCTGGGTCAAACATAGTCCCTGGAACTGAAGTATGGAAGGAAGCCCCTGCCCTCCAAGTAATGGCAGCAGAAGAAAGTACCTAGTCACCATCCTCCCTTTTAACTTAGTAAGAGCATGGTCCTCTTGGAAACTCGTGTACGTTCCTGTACTGTGAAGGGAAGGCAAACCCTGTGGGAGGAGGTGGTGTCTTAGCTGGAAAATGGTGCCCAATCAGGGTCAGTGTCCTGGGGGGAGGTAGGTTCCTGATGGGAAACTAAACTTCTGAACTCCAGTACTGAACTACAAGTAATTCATGTCAAAAAAGGTACTCTGGGATGGGCACGGTGGCTCATGCCTATAATCCCAGCACTTCTGGGAGGCTGAGGCAGGTGGATAATGAGGTCAGGAGATTGAGACCATCCTGGTTAACATGGTGAAACCCTGTCTCTACTAAAATATATATATATATTTAAATTAGCCGGGTATGGTGGCATGCACCTATAGTCCCAGTTACTCAGGAGGCTGAGGCAGGAGAATTGCTTGAACCTGCAAAGTGGAGGTTGCAGTGAGCCGAGATCATGCCACTGCACTCCAGCCTGGGTGAGAGTGAAACTCCATCTTAAAAATAAAGGGTACTCTAAGGTAATGATTCCATCTTTGCCTGCCCATGATGAGGAGGGTTAGGGTTAGCAAGGCCTGAAGGAAGGAGAGTAGAGCCTTGTAACAGAACAGAGCCTGGATTGAGGAAGCAGCCATACCAGGTGCACACACGCCAGGACATGTGTTCACTTCCCTGTGTGGTTCCCCATGTGTGTGCACTTGTAGTAGACGTCAAGGCCAGCATGACAGTGACAGTGGACCCAAGAAGGAAGGAAGGGAGTTCTTGCAAGGCTGGGGAGATTCTGCCCTGCTCAATTTTACTTAGGAAATAGGAAACAGCCTCGGCAACCTCTGTCTACATTCCTGCTCTCATTTCACATTTCACCCTTTCCAATCTTATGAAAACATTACAGAATACTCTCAGCAGGTATGTCTAATCCTCAACAAGCCTCTTAATGACAGAGAAAGGGTCTCTCTTCTGATTAGATCATAAAATTTCGAGAAAAATTTAAAAATCTACTTATTGTTATTTTACGTAAATATAAACTTCAACAAATGCCAACTCCTCCAATAAAGCAAGAAAACCAGTGAGATTTGTGGGTTCATCACAGCTCCCAGAAGAGTCTCCTTCTGTCACTAAAGAACAGCAAACATTTCAAAGGTTAGGACAAATCTATAGGCAGAATGGTCATCAAAAACAATTTTAAAGAGCTTTATTTGTTGCTGGTATAGATAGAGCTGAGAGAAATCCATCAACCAACAAAGATCTAAAAGACTAGCCTGATCAACAACAAAATAAAGCTGACAGTTTCAAATATGGTTCCATGGTCAGATTCTGGAAGCCAGTGTAGTCAAAGGCCAGCAATCTCCTCTTAGGAGCTCTGCAGGATGGGACCTCAACTAGATGGGACAGGACTAGCCATCCTGCTCTTTCTGAAAACAGCAGACAGTGTGACACGCAGGAACTGGGGCAGTACTAGGCTCAGTGATCCGTAACACACAAAACTCCAGAGAACACCTATACTCTACTCTCCATACAATCAGACCACACACGACTCAACAGTTACTAATAGAAGTACAAATGTTCATCATGTAAAAATCCAAATGTGTCAAGAAAACTTAGGCCCTCTGTTCCTGAAGTTCTTTGTGCGCTGTCAAATGACAGACTTTCCAGTCATGAAAAGGAATATAAAGCAATCTCACTACAAAAAAATTCTTGTAATCCCCTCTTCTTAAGAAGTTGTAATTAATTATGCCAAAACAAACCTCTGGATTTCTATCCAAGCCTAAATGCCAGTTTATTTCTTAGAAACGACAAATACTTTCTGACAATTTGTTTTGCTACATTCAAGTCTCTCGGTAGCTGGCTTTCTTATCAAATTCACTGTTTTAAATGATTTTAACATGACTTCCAAAGAACATATGGGGAAAAAACCTTTCTATACAGCCTTGGCAGAAACTGGCATTCCCCTTCTCTCAGTTCCCTCTTAGAGTGCCTGCTATCACTGGAGCAGCTATAGCAGTGTGTTTACCCAGTTGACGTCACACACCTCCTTCTCACTGCAGGACACCAGCATGCCTTCCTTGGCCTCTGGTACCTTCTGCCAGGTTACTGCCCAGCCTCCTCTATTACCCATGCCCCTCCTTTTCTGTGCATCCCCCTGACTGGGCCTTCTTTTCGCTTACCAGCAAAGCTACTTTTAAACATTTAGGTCTCAGGCCCCTAACAAAAGCAAACTTGCCCATCTGATTTATCTGCAAAGGGAGAGGACCACAGGAATGGTCTGTTTGGGTGAGCTTGTTTTTACGCAAGGAGGAACCTGAAGAAAGGCTGGATAAAGATGGTTAAGAGGCGAGAAGAGCTCGTTTTTACAAATGACCTCAAATTACAGTACAGCCAATCAATGACTTAATAGAAGCAATA